TTAATAATAAATATTGTATATATTTTTTCAGCTATAGCTTTCCAAACAAATTTTCGTAAAATAAAAAAAATATTTTTCAAATTTATTAAAATTTTTTGTCACACTTCTTTCACAAAACAAAATTTATTTTCAATAAAATCCAAAAAAAATCCCCTTCCACTCACATCATTCCAGCATCCATACCCCTGCATAGCAAAATGCTATAAATTACTCATACGCCCTGTCACCCAATTTATATTTGACACTCGAAGCTTATGACTTATGCGCTCGCTATGTTGTCTGTCAAATGTGTCTGCGCGCAATTATCAAATATTTATTGCTYCTAGGCATATGTGTGAGTGTACCCACAGATATAATTACATTCACCACATGACTCATGGCATACGCAGAAGGAAAAACCATTTCGGACCCCCCCAAAAACCTGCCAACATTTCTTTATCACGAATTAGCTGCCAAAATTCGCGCTGCACTACATTTTCGTCAACCTGCAAAGCCCGCAGCAATATTGTAAAGTGGTATAGTTTTAATATATAACTCAACAAGTATAATAACAACAACAAATTGGATAATTAATACAAAACATATGTGCAATAAATTAGTTAAACACGCCCACTGTGCCACAAGTGAAGGCGAACGTGCCGCGTTTTTGACTCTTTGTTGTTGATTTTTGTTTGTTATCTTATGGGCTGATWTGCACGTGCAAACCTTTGACCAAGCAGGAAATCCAAAAATAGTAAACACATACCATATATTGGTGTAAGCATTCATATGTGCATTTGCTGCAAATTTTCGTAGATTCAAAAGGAAAAAATAGCAAATTTTAGTGTCACGTCAGTTAGCCGTTTAATCATTAGCGCCGCGTTTCTGCGCCCCTTGCTAACGGCAGCGGTGACGGTGGCGSTGGCACTCAATCAACGCTTAAATGCAAATTTCGTGCAACACCAAATACAGCTTATCTTGCAACAAAATTTTMCGTCGAAATGCAGGCTTTGTGTTTGTTGTTATTTTTTAATTATTTTCCATTTGTTCAGCAAGCGTTTTGTAGCGTTTAGTATTGTCAGAAAAAAAGCACCGAAATAACTGCGCATAGCATTCCAATTTGTTGCTTTGAACAAACACCGCAATGTGTTGCAACACATGCAATGGYAACGCGCGCAACATGTCATGTGGTAAATGCACAAGTGTTGTCGCTCTATAATAAATACACACAATAATATTTATATATAACATATATATAATATATAAATATGTATGATAGACATGTTGCTTGACTGCGTGGCAGCTGCAWTGTGGTGCTTGCCTCGTTTGCCGCTGTCAGTTTTGAAAGTCGCCTTAATGGACTATTTTATTATTAGATTGTAAACAGCAATTTTGCTTGGCATTGTTTTTTAATATAATTTATGTTTATTAATATTGCATGTGTGGCACAAAGTGCACCGCTTGCAGACCGGGGCGCAATATGAGTCATTGAGATTTTTTCGCAAGAAAAGAATGGAGTTCGATTTTTTCGAATTGTTATGGTTTTTTTATAGCTTGCTTTATATTTTTGCAGGTTAGGCTTAATTATTAACACTGCTATTTTATTACTGAAAATGTTTTGTAGTTATAGAACATAATAAAAATTTTAAAAATAATTAAATTTAATAAAGAAAATTTTAATCAAAATAAAAACAAAAAATGAAAGCTTCCTAAGCACTTTATGCAAAATAACCAAGCACCAAGTTTGAAGTTGAGGCTGGACAAATTGGCTTGAAATTCTGACATTCTTGGAAACAAAAGTCAGATAATTATCGAAGGAATAAGATTTTCGAGAATAATTTCGGCATTGCTCAAAGTAACTTGCAAGTTCAAAAGACCACGATTTTGACTAGTCTTTCGATCATTTCTGATTATATTGATAAATATAATTTTATATTATAAAAAATATTATATCAACAAATGGGGACCTTTTTCAAGAGGTGCTCATTATGATGGGTTACTGGATCAAGGAAGTCCAAGATTTTTAAAAATGAACCAACTATTATTAAAGTAACGATTTGGATAAAAGCAAAGTCAAGAAAGRCAAAAWCCGATGGAACGAGCTATCTGGAAGCGAAACTKCAAAAGTCATGTGCAAAASGGTAGATCGGWAGCAAACAAAATTCCTATTGGCACTCGRTAGAAGAAACTATCGGAACTTAATCGCAATACTAACTGGCCACTATCTGGTGGTAACACACGTCCACAGAATGGTACTGAYATATCWAGAGGACTGCAGGAAATATMTAGAGCAAGACACCTGGGAAACAWAGGAGCATCTCTTGTGCACGTGTCCCGCATTATTCACRCGTCAAGYGCAGGCAACCTAAAGRATGAYTACTCCTCATAGTCCTAGTAACTGAACTTTGCCTGGCATCACAAAGGAYCAAAACTRGTCTATGTATAACTTACCAGWCTAAACTAACCTAAACTCTTAAAATACAAGAAATTTTTTTATAAGCATATTGCTTTTTTTATTTATAAAATATTATAAAGTAGAGATAAAGATCAGAGTTTTGATATGATTGAGGAATCGAAGATGTTGAAAAAGACTATTTCAATTTTATCGTGCACTGGAAAAAACGGTGGCATAAGTGCGTATTGAAGGAAAACAAATTGATTTGGAAGTTTAATAAAGAGTTTGAATTTTATAAACAAATTAAGTGGAAGTTTTTATATACTATTTGAAAGCAAGTTTATAGCGCTGAARAAGCTTTCGCTATGAGAGCTGCAAATGTCACATAAAGCATTTAATTTTCTGATATTTATCGCAATTTTTTTTTTCTTTCATAAAAATTGTTAAAAAAAATATGCTCTACAATTTTTATACCCTAAACGGGGCATATTATGTATACCACGATGTTTGTAACACCTAAAAGGAAATGTCTGCGGAACTAAAAGGGTTTAAGAATATTTATACGTAGGAAAATGTTTGTTGAAAATTTTTGATCAAAAAAGTTTATTCACTTTATAATCATTAACCACATAAATGAAAATATGCACATAAAAGTGAACAGATTCCACAAATGTATATTTGTAAAAATCAAGATTCGTTCCGGTTGCGTAGACCCGACTGTCGTGGGCCATGTTTGCCTGTTTTAGAGATATCGATCTGATAGCTACGCAGTTGTCGGAACGGCCGATTTAAAACTTATTTAATCTGTCATGGAAAATATAATAAATTATTATAAAACTGTATGTTGTTAAGTGCGCCATTTTCTTTGTGTTTACTTATTTATTTCAATTTTTTAAAAAAGTTTTTATATTAGTTGACACTGAAACGTTGTGTCGCCCATAGAATTTATCAGTATAAAGAAAGAACACAAACTGAAATTTTAAATACTGGCATCTTCCTCGCCAATACATGCATTAAAGTATCACACGTGAATGCATTCCTTTATACCCCGCTTGTAACAAATATGCCACATTTAATGTTGCGACTTTATTCAAATGAATACCGTCATATTTTAAGGTTTCGTAATCTCTTCGTAAAATGAGRCCTGCTACCCAGCAGTGCAATATTTTACGCGAGAATCTGCTTGTTAATAGGCGCCTTAATCGCTGCAGCGGTACAAGTTAATTAAAATTCCAAATAAAGATTCTTAATCTTGAGCGGCCATAAACGAAATCGTCACAAAATATACATATATATTTTTCAATGCCGCGCATYTCAGAACTTTTATAACGCCATTTTATTGGCGTATTAATTAAAAGACACACCGTTAAAGGTAACTGCAACAATTTGTAARCAAATAAAATGTGTCTTTCAGTTTTTGTCAACAATTATCGGATAAGTATCTGTTCTTCTCATCATTGCTGCATTGAGTTTAATGCTCACGCTGACCATATTTGCGGCGTACGATTTCGTATAACWGATAATTCTGCATTTAACGATTTAAGCATTTGGAAGATAAGGATATAATAAAGAATATTCAGTTGGGGAGGGAAYTTACTGAAATTATTTTGAAGAAATRRAAAAAACRATGAACGAWTTTTTTCTTCAARACTTTAAATTTTTGATAGAAAGGGTGATACATTTCGAGATTTCTTCATTTTTTAAAGAAAAAACAATGAAACTTCAAAYTTATTGGTGAATCATCRTTATTACTCGAAAGAACATTCYTTGGCATTTATTTTTTGAAGACGATCTCTTTCAMATTTTGGCCGCGGCTATGTCTCAGATGGTTCATCCGTTGAGTCCAATTTTGATGACTCGTAGGAGCATTTAGCCTGGTAACTGGCGAATAACAGGCGTGATGTTTTGCTCCAAGACCTGAATCGAAGTGGGATTGTCCATATTGATCTTAGGCTTTATAAATTCCCACAAGAATTRTCTAACGACAAGCAGTCCAAAACGTGAAAATATCTGCTAAYCGAAGTGKTCTTTCAACAAATACATTGTGGAGCCGTCTTGTTGAAATAGCAGGATTAAATTTGAGAAGTTCATGATTTTAGTAACGGTTAAGTTAGTCGATTTTCCAACTAAT